AGATTCATAGAGTGGTTTGGGTTGGAAAGGACCTGAAGGATCATTTTGTTCCTTGAACACTTGAACAATTCCAGTGATGAGGCATTCACAGCTTCTCTGGGCAACCTGTTCTGTGCCTCACCACCCTCACAGTGAAGCTTTCTTCCTAGTATCTAATTTAAATCTACCATCTTTCAGTTTAAAGCTGTTACCTCCTGTACTTTCCCTATCTGAAGGGGAAAAACATCTGCTAACATCAGGAGTGCCAGATCTTGATACTTGGTCTTCTAGTAGGGTCAGCTGTTGGAGGTGCCCTAAGAGACTCTTACGACTGGTGGAAGAGACTTAATGAGGAGAGATCGGAGGAAGAAGAAAATATCTCACAGTGCATTTATGCTGTCATGCACAAGATATGATTATCATAACCACAAGAGTGTCTGTTTCCAGTGTTTTACTTGGTTGTGCAATTGTTCTCTTGTTGGCATAATGTGTTTTATTATGAGAATATATGATTCCCTTCTCTGTACCCCTGCTACCTTTTGTCCTATTGGTTCTATACAAACCCTTTCCCTATTTGTCCATGTTTAGATAGGTTCCGCCCCTTGTTGCTCTTTTGAGTACTCCTCCCAATCTCCTCCCTAAGTTCTAGAAAGCTCCCTGCTTTCTGTTTATAAGCCTGCATCCGTGTTCAATAAAGGGCCATTTTTTGTCACACCATGACTTGCATGCAGAGTGGTCCTTCTGGGTCTTGCATAAGGGGGGTTACAGCTCTCCCCCCGTCAGTCAGCCTGCTTCTTCTCAGCTGTGAGAATATCTTGCTGGACTTTCCACCATTGTGTGTAGACCGGAGTATGGTCTGACTACATGGTTTGAATTGCTGCACATGGCTGTGTGACTCTGCTTCTTCTCTCCTTTATTCCCAGGAGCTGCATTAGACCTTCCCGTACATGTTATTAAAGAAACTGTGTCAGGTATCAACAACAACAATCAAAGAAATAGCTAAGGAACATTAGCAGAAGACTAGCAATGCGGTTAAAATATTAGAGACAAAGATGTACATGAAATGAAGGGAAATTAACCTCCAGTAAATTGACTCAATTTTTCATAACAGTTCAACTTAGACTCTTCCCAGTACTTTGTCATAAGGAGGGTTCTCTCACTTCAGGAATACATTTTGAAACCTGAACTATCCTAGGTTAATGGCTGAATCTGTACTGTTATCATTACAGCCAAAAAACCCCATAGCTGGATAAAAATACTCAAAACTACATTAAGACGATTAAACATTTTGTGGAGCTAAGTTGCAACTGGTTTTGTGAGAAACTATGTTTAGTCAGATTAGAAGAGCAGGAACAGAATTACTGGTATAAAATGCAAGAAGAAATGTACTCATTACTGTGCAGCTGTGGGTAAAAACAGGACTTTAGTACTGTCTACAGCTAAGGTTCCCTGAAGCTTCAGGCACACTTTCAATACTTGTAATATTCCAAATCTCTTCACTATTCTGCCTACAATATTCTGTACTGGCTACAACAGTCTATTTCTTGACTCCCACTAAATCTCAACTAGAAAGTTTCAAGTAAAAATATTTTCACTGTGGAGGACATGAGTTAGAGTATGTGTTTGTCTGTATAATATGAAACTGCTTACAGTGGGCTGGGGAGAACTCGTTGCCTGAAATACTGTTTAACATGACAAGACTTGAATTTGTTTACTGGGATGCCTATGTTCATTTGTTAGTGTGGAGATAAAATCAAGCAAAAAACAACATTTGAGGGTGTACTTAAAAATTGTGTTACAGACAAGAACTTTTCCATCTGAAACACAAGTCTGATGAAAAAAACCCCACAAATCCATAATAATTCAAACTGAAGAAACACAGAGAAAGAGCAAGGTAAAATGATGTGCAAGTCGTGTTAAAAATGTGGTTCTAGACTAGAAGAAAAAAATCATGCTCAGCTTTTGAGCCTAAGGCCATCTTCCAATACTGCCTTCAAATATGTCTGGTATGTATTTCCATATTACCATTCTCGCTGTATTTTATATTCTGAATGATGGGAGAAGAGAGGGTGTTTCAAAAGGAGGTGTTAGCTAAAAAATTAAGTGTCTTTTGAAATATAAATACCTATAAATAATGACCTAAATATCAGAAGCAACAAAGTAACATTTTTCAAGAAATAAGCAAAACCAAACCAAACCGAAGACTTTTATTTGACCTAAATAACTAGAGAAATCTGGGGCTTCGGGTCAGAGTCTTAAAAAGCATTAGGAAATATTTAAAAAAAAAATGCATGGTGCTTAGTAGTGAGTGGTAAATTTGTTTTATCAGTTTAAATTAAACTAATTAGAGTAATGACATATATAGATAGATGAAATACAGTTCTGACAAGACTGATAGCTGCCTGACCCAGAAAATGTTCTTCCTTTTTGATACGTATACTTTACATGTTGGAAATAAAAAACATATTCTCCTTGGTTTCCTGTTTGAAATACCACATCATTCTTTTATGTTTGTTTATTTGTTCTGTTTTGTTTTAGCTTACAAAACTTTGAAGCAATATGGTGTAAACAAGTATTTTCAGATAGCCTTCTTTTATTTCTAAGGCTAATAAAGGTTTATTTGTACGTTTAGAAGTATCATTCTCATCTGCACAGGTGTTAAACCCATGGTTTTGTTAAACATTGAGATTTCTATTTGAATGTTGTTTGAAGTCTTCCTGTGATCTTTCTGCTAGGTTCTGCTTCAACTTAAACGAACATAGCTCAGAGAGAATTCAATGTGCAGAATGACTAATTTTGTTGTAAAACTGTTTATGGTGAACTGATTTGAATTAACTCTAGAATAATCTCACTCTGCCTGTTGCAGCAGAGCCATATACTGCCTTCTCATCCCAGATGTCCTTCAACCCCAAGACAATGAGTATTTCTGCATCTAAACAGCCTAAACTCCTTTGATCCTTTTATAAGCAAATCTACTTGCTGGTTGGATAAAAAGGAGGTGAATTAGACCAATTTGGAAATTACAGTGTAATGACAGAATTTTAATGTAAGGAAAGCTTATGCTGGTTTACGTGAAAGAAGAATCAGGAGGCTTGCCAGCATGTTATTTGGGACTACTCAATGCACACATCATAAAAACACAGTACAAGGCATATTGAGGCTTGTGTACACCTCTCCCAGACAATGAGCATCCATGTACTGTTCTACTTGCGAGATTACTTTCTGTAGGGAATATGTCTACACAAACAACAAATTTCTGGTCTTTCTTTTTCTTGAAAAGGAAAATCTGATCACTTGTGAAAATAACTGTCATTTAAAGATATCAGAGTAGTTCAGTATTTTGACAAATAACAATTTCTTTTGAACAGAATATTGTAGTTCTCTATACCTATTTGCTTTGTGAAAAGAGTATTAATTTTAACAGAAAACACTGCTTACCTGAAAAGCTGCTTATTCTATGTTTTGACTGTAATGTGAAAATAAAAAGTGACACATAAGGCACAGGTATATATTGAAATACTTCTGTAGTCTTTTTTACTCACTGGGGAAGAACTAAATTCATGTTTTATTCTCTTGATTCCTGCTCATTGAGTAAACCCATTATTTACAAGAAAGCAGACCTTTTAAAGAGCTTCCATTTTAGCACATTTCTTCTTTAATTTAAAGATGTCATTTCAAAAATTCTGACACATAAGCTTCCTCCAGACCTTGATCCATTTGAGCTTTGCTACCTGATGGTTTTGCTTTTAGGTGGTAGAAGCTAATAATTTAGATTTACTTACAGGGATCAAAGTAGGCTGACCTATCTGTCATTTTCTATCTTGAATTTTTTTTTCCTATGACTATCTTTGGCTTTTTCTGGTCCTGAAATGTCATTTATCTGACAGGATTCATCAAAAACAACCTCCAGTGGTTCAGAGGTTATTCTGGCTATTTTCTCAAATACTTTAGATATAATTCCAAGCCCCCAATCATTTGAAAGCACCCATTTTATCTCAGTACTTTTAATTTGTATTCTTCCTGTTCTATTCAGCAAAAGTTGTACTGTCAAACACCTGGCTGCAAACTTTTTTGGGAAAGTTGAATACCGGTGGCCAAAACCTCAATGGTGTGAAGAAGTGCCTTTTGAAATGAAACCCAAAAGTACGCTACATAAAGGTATGGCTCACTATACACCAAAAGATTTCTTTTGCTTGTTTGTTTCATGGAACGTAAAGACTTGTTCTGAAATCATCCTGCTGGTATTATTTTAATTAAAAAAAAGACATTTTAGATAGCGTTAAGCACCCAAAAATGCAGTGACGGGGCTACTCATCCAGTATGCTGTAATGAGAAAACATTTTTTTTTAATTTTAAAAATACGAGAGTGGCAAACGCCCATATCTGGCGGGTTCTGCCTGGCCGTGCTCTGCATTTTGCGCCCACCGCTGCCGAAGCGCAGAGCCGGTGACGAGGCCGGTTATTTTCTGCAGCGTTTACTGTACCTTCACGAGCAAATCCGACTGAACCTTCCGTCCACAAGGTTGCCGCGGCTTGGGGACGATGTCTGCCCGGCCGGGGACCCACTTCACGTTCCCACCTTCACACAGGGTCTGGGTGTACCCCGACCCCAAAGGAGACCGCAGATATCACAGCGCAGACACCCCCTAGCCTCGCTCTCCGCGGAGACCTCCGGAGCCGTTTGCCCTCCAAGCCTCTCGTACGGTGCAACTGTCTCCAATGCAGAAAATAGACGGGGAGGTGGGCAGGATAAGCCCCCTCCTGCTACGTCCTCATGTGCATTGCCGCACGTATACATAGCCGAGCCGCCGCTCCCCTTGCACCTCGCTTCGCGCTGCCCGCTGCCACCGAGGGTACAGCCAGGGTGGGGGGCCTAGGGAGGCAAAGTTTCCGCCCGGCTGGGCCAAGGTGAGGGTTTCGTCCTTCTTTTAGCTTCAACGTCAGCGCTGCAGCTCCAGCCTCCCTCGGTCGCGCCGCTCTGAGTGGAGGGCGGCGCGGTGGAACCCTGCGCTCGTTCCCGACGGCGGGCGCTCCGCTCCGGCCCGCCCAGCACCGGAGAGCAGGCGCCGGGCTCGCCACTGCCTCCGTCGCAGAAGAAGGATGGAGCCAGGCAAGGAGCCCCAGGTGACCACCGGGGGAAAGCCCAGCGAATCTGAGTCGGCAGTATCCTTCCAGGCCCGGCTGTGGAAGAACCTGCAGCTGGGGGGTAAGGGCCGGAGCGGCGGCGGGCGGGCAGGAACCGAGCGCCGCACTGCGGAGCCCCCCGCACCGCCGCCGACCAGCGGCAAGGGGGACCTGCCGCCCGGCGCAAAGTGGAGCGGCTTCAAGCGGCGGCGGCAAGTGCTGGACCGCGTCTTTTCGTCCTCCCAACCCAATCTCTGCTGCTCGGCCGCTGAGCCGCTAGAGCCGGACGGCGAGTCCGGCTCCGCCCTGCGCCGCCTGCGGGAGCACCTGCTTCCCCAGGGCAAGGGGCCGCCACCCGGCCGCCACCCAGTGCCGGTCGCCGGCGATGAGGGGCAGGCGAGTGGGAAGGAGGGGCGCCGGCCTGGGGCACACCTGTCCCACCAGAAGAGCTCTTCGTTGCCCAGCACCGCTTGCCTGGAGCAGCTGCTGCAGGGCTCGCCCACTGTCGGCAGGAGACAGGAGCAGCGGGCGGAGGACGGCGACGGTGGCGCGGTGAGTGTTGGGCCCCGCAGCCCTTCGTGGGGCTGCCCTGGTGGTTTTGTCCGTACTGGGCCGGGGTGGAGGGGCCAGGCGGGAGGGAAGGTCCCGGGGAGGGCAGGCGAGACGAGGCAAGGCGAAGCGGGAAGGGCGGCCGGCCGCTGGGGAAGGGAGCTGAGGAGAAAGAGGTGAGAGGACGGACAGCGTTTGGTCTCAGACCCCTGCCCGCTCGCTCGCCAGTGGGGATGTCCTTCGCCTGAGAGGGGGAACGGCCCGGGGTCCGCCCGGTCGGAGCCCTGCACGCTGTGATAGGCCGTGTGGCTGAGCCATCCCGAGCTGCGGGTGCAGCGCTGCCAGGAGTGCTTGTGCACCGAAGCAGGAGCTACGTCCCTAAGACATTCCTTTTTATAAACTGTGCAGAGGAAAGTTGGTTGGACGGGGAGTTGGGGTTCCCTCACTCTCACGCCTTTCCCCAGAGCCACCTCTCACCTCTCTGAGGGCTCTCTCTGCCGGTGTCTGCTCTTGACACATACAGCACGGCTTTTCCTCAGGCGGCCTCTGCTTTTTTTTGTCTGCTTATCCAAATTTGAATTATTATGTCTTATAATTTCTGCAGAAAACCTAAACGATAGTCACTAGTACACATTTAATAGATGATAGATAATTAATTGGTAGACCATACTGGGTATTATCACATGCAGCTGGTCTCTTCAGTCTGATAAGATAGTCATTCTTCCCTGGTTGTCGAGGGAAGGCGGTGAACAAAGCTCTTCCGACTGTTAGTTTTGAAATAGGTGGTGAAGCTAATGTTCATAGGGGCTGCTGAATCTTGGCATAAATTTCCTGCAATAAAAGTGCAAAGCATATGAGTATTTCTGGAGTTTGTGTAATTCGAAGCAGTCATCCACTTTTCTTCAGGAATAATTGACTAATACCTATTGTTATAAATTGTCTTCTGGCATAATTAGGGAGAAATGAGTAGCTGAAGTAAAAGGCACGCTCTCTGTGTTGTCAAAAATAAATACATTTGGCTGCATACCTGTGCTTGGGGTCTAGAGTGGTAGTAGTTCTGTGATGATTTGCAAGTGTCCCTTGATGTCAGTGGGACTTTCATGTCTGGCTACAGAGTTCAGAGGAGTTCATCTTTACAAACACGGGACCTAAATTTATGTCTGAATCTCACAGGGTTACTTTGGTGATAATCATCATCCTGACTGGAAACCACAGTGGTTGTTCCTTGTTTATTGCTTGTAAATGTTTTACATCGTTGCTTATTGATGTGGGATTATCATGACAGGTGTCTGCTAAGTGGGAATTTCTCTGCAGTAGTTAGTCCCTTCCTCCCCACACCCCGGCTCACAAAAATGTGTTGCACATTTTAGTATTATTTTTTAAGACTACAAAATATTATTCTGCTTTAAAGACTATGACATCTAACAAATAAACAAATATGAAAATGTAGGATTTTCTTTACACAGAATATGCTGAGTTGGAAGGGACCCACAAGGATCATCAAGTCCAACCCTTAGCACTGCACAGGACCATCCCCAAGAGTTACACCATGTGCCTGAGAGTATCATCCAAATGCTTCTTGAACTCTGTTAGGCTTAATGCTGTGACCACTTCCCTGGGGAGCCTGTTCCAGTGCCCAACCACCCTCGGGGTGAAGAACCTTTTTCTTATATCCAACTTAAACCTCCCCTGACACAACTTCAGGCCATTCCCTTAGGTCCTGTCATTGGTCACTACAGAGAAGAGATCAGTGCCTGCCCCTCCTCTTCCCTTCACAGGGAAGTTGTGGACTGCAATGAGGTCTCCCCTCAGTCTCCTCTTCCAGGCTGAGCACATCAAGTGACCTCAGCTGCTCCTTATACAGCTTCCTCTCAAGGCCCTTCCCCCTCTTTGTTGCCCTCCTTTGGACACTCTCTAACAGCTTAATATACTTTTTACACTGTGCCCAAAACTGCCACAATATTCAAGGCAAGGCCCCACCAGTGCAGAGCAGAGCGGAACAATCTGGTCCCTTGCTTCGCTGGTGATGCTTTGCCTGATGCCCCTCAGGACAGGGTTGGCCCTCCTGGCTGCCAGGGCACTGCTGACTCATATTCAACTGGCCATCAACCAGGATCTTCAGGTCCCTTTCCACAGAGCTGCTTTCCAGCATCTCATTCCCCAGTCTGTCTGTACATTCAGGGTTGCCCCAATCCAGGTGCAGAATCTGCCACTTTCCCTTTTTGAACTTCATATGGTCAGTGACTACCCAGTCCTCTAATTTCTGCTGTTGTGTTCAGCAAAGAAACGACATGTTTATTTACAAAACCTGTCAATTGCTGTTTAGTTGTGAGGGCACTGGTCTTGTTTTGAACAAGATACAGTCAACATTTGGAAAGAATACTGCTAAATCAAATCAAAGTGGTACCCAGGCTTTCTAACACTTGTCTTTAATTAGCAGGATTATGGTCAATTCCTCCAAGCAGTTTCTAGTATTAATATGGGCTGTGCCTGCATACCAAACCTTCTGGTTTTGATATTAAATAAAGCTTGTTTATGTGTTTGTGGAGTTTGCCAGAGCTGCTGATCATGTTTGCTTTGGAGGGATGATTTGAAATAGAGTAGCTGCTCTTATATTGCATAATGAGCACATCCACTGCTCTTCTCATCTCTAGGGGTGTAATCTCACTCGATTTAATTCGGTGGCTTCACTGAGCCATGGGATAGTTGTGGAAATGAGACTGTGACTATATGCATTGTTGGTCTGTCTTCAGGTATGCCTGGTACTTTCCAGTGATCTGTTAACAGGGCAAGTACCTTCCATTGTGAGCAGCTGGAGTTTCTAGTTCAGTGCACTTCAGGAGTCAAGTCTTGCATGCTTACTTACAGTTCAGTATACTTCAGAAGTCAAGGCTGCACCCCAGGGCAGTAAGGTGCCTTACCTCAGTCATGGCATTTACACCTCTCTGAGGACTTGAGATTGCACATCTAGTAACATGAGTTTGGAATAACTTGCATTTTTAAATCCAAGTTTTACTTAGCACAGACTTTTCAGTGTTGTCTGGATTTTTATTGCCGAGCAACCTTACATGTCCAAAGATGAAAAAAATTCTATAAACTAACAGAATCACAAAAATGAGATTAAATTACCTAAACGTAAAACAACCTAAAATTTCAACTTCCTTTAAAATGTATTTAAAGTTTTATTGAACTACAGGGCAGGCAGATGCTACTGCTTCATTTGGATCTGTTGAATTTTTTAGCAAATCTGTAAACAAAAAGACCTGTTAGATATTTTAAGGGACATGGTTGGGAGAAATAAAATCCTACAATAAGTCAATTTTTTTGTGCTTTTAAGATGAAATAATACAGTTGTCATAAGTGAAAAGGCACACAGGTAGTGGATGAGAAGATTTACAATGTAAGTTGCCGTAGTCTGTGGATTTTATCTTGAAATGTAATTTTGGCATAATCAAACCATTTACATTTATTTTGAACTCATTAAGATGTGGTATAACACTATTGCATTGGGCATGGACAATCTAGCAAAGATCTAGTTTTCTTAGCATTGAATAAAGCTTCTGTTATAGTGAATAGGATTAATACCTGAGTTTGAGTAGAGGTGTACACTTAAAAGTGGAGTCTTATACAAACAATACCTATTATATTTTCACACTGAATATTGATCTAGTTCTTTGCTGAAGACTGAATACTTTGCAGAGCTGTCTGTGAATATTTTTGGGTAGGTGATCATAGCTATTTATTGGCAGAAAACTGAGTTTCCTTTTAAACGATAGCCAGAGCGTAAATGTGGGGTTTTAGGACAAAGAAATGAACACATGCAATTAAACATCGTCTTTTTCCAGCTTCCAAAGACCGTGACAGGTCTCCTTGGCCAAACCTTCTGTAACTCTCCATGTGGCATCCAGTTACTTTCATGTAACTGAGAGCTGCCAGATGTGTGCTGCATCTTTGAGGGAGTGAGAGGAGAACCATGGAAGCCTCCTGGGGTGTCCCATGGGCAGGAGATGACAAGAACCCTCCAAGGCAGCACTTCACAATGCTTGTGTCTGAGTGTGTTGCCATGCCCCAAGGCAGTGTGGTAAGGGTCCCTAATAATTTGCATCTTCTTGCCAGCTGGAGCTTGAATTTATCCAACAATGCCTGTGCCAGCATGGTCTTTCTCTTGAATGTGAGACACAGTTTTGCATGGAAAGTTTTATGCCACTTGCACTTTGTCATAGTAGTGTAGTGAAAACCAGGAGGCTGGAAATATCCTTGTTTCTTAAGATTTGCAGTAATAAAGACCCTACAGGTGTTTCACAGCCTTAATTGGAGAACATAGGTGTGGGCATATGTTATTTTGAATCAACAGTGAATATGAAGAGGGCTTACGGAGAGGATTCCTGAAGGGACATCCAGGCTTCAGTCTGGCTGCCACAGTGAGAACTCTTGTGGGCACTTTTCTCCAGTGGGTTTTCTTGCAAGATAATGCTCTGGTAACAACAAATCCTGTGACTTCTTAAAGTATGTTCAGGTTGATCGATTAAGTTGAAAGAGTGGACAAGTTCTTAACCCCTTCCCTCAATGTCTATTTTCAGTTTTGTGATTGCGTAAGTAAACTGGAGATGTGGCAGGGCTCAGGAGTTACCGCAGAGGGAAGAGTGAGGGCTGACTAGGGCTGCTTCTCAGTCTGTGGGTTCTTCGGCATAGTAAATCAAGAGTCATTAGTTTTGTGAACACAGACTATTTGTTTCATTAATAAGCATCCTGCAGCCCTGCATTTGTGGGTCTTCAAAGCCAGAGGTTGGAAAACAGTGGTCTAGATTATATAACAGACTGATGCAAGAGAGAGATTAGATCAAGTAAAAAAAAAAAGATATATATCCAGGTACAGGGTCTCTCCCATTCCTGCAATAATGTATAACTGTTGGTCAATACAGTTTGTGTAAGAAGGTGAGCTCCTCCATGAGAAGGATCTGCGGAATAAAGGGGAATTTAGTGGGCTGGGTTGTATGAGGAGA